CGCAAGTCCACCGGAGGGAAAGCGCCGAGGAAGCTGTTAGTGAAAAGCTGCCAGAGAATCAGCTCCGACGACCAGAGGTGTGAAAAAGCCACATCGGTTTCAGGCCAGGGACGGTGGCTTTGAGGGAGATAAGGAAATACCAGAAGAGCATGGAGTTGTTGATACGAAAGCTTCCATTTCAGCGTCAGTGAGAGAGTTTGCGCAGGATTTCAAGACGGAGATCTTCACAGGGAAGCAGTGTTCTTCGGTGATAAGTTTCAGAGCAGTGTTTTTTGATGATAAGTTTCAGAGCAGTGTTCTTGGTGATAGGTAGCCGGTAATTTTATTATTAGAAAAGTGCTTTTTTATTTTAATATCCAAACAATAATTTTATTTGAAAGCACTTTTTAAATATTATATCCAAACATAAAATAATTTTAACTTTTAAAAAAAGTTCTTTTAAAAAAAGTAACTCATAAAAAGCTCATTTTTTTAAAAGCCATCCAAACGAGCCCTATGTAGGTAACATGGGCAAGTTAGTTTGATTACTAACAGTGTTAAGTGATAAAAAAAAATATAGGGGATAAGTGATAAAAGAGTAAATCACAGGGGATTTTTGGACTTTTTCCTTAATAATTTTATTTTATTTTTTATTTTGGTTCTGTGAGGAATAAAAGAAATTATTTCTTTTCTTAATTAATAATAAATCATTTTGAAACTTAATTTCTATTTGAAATAAATAATAATTTATTTATCAAAATAATGGATATTACACTATTTTTAAACAACTAACTTACCAAATGCGTATAACTCAGTTGGCAATACAAGCTAAGTAGAGTGGGGAGAGAACTTGAGTTCAATTCTCACCAAATACATCTTTGGGATGGGGCAAAGAGCTTTAACTATGACTAAGGCCTAACTCGATATTAATCTCATAGCCATCTCAAGGAGTTGAAGCTTATGAGATATCTGAGGGAGAAATGATCACATATTCCTTATCCATTTTAAGCAAAACTATTTTGAGTTAAAAAACAAAACAAAACAAATATCACTAGTTCGAAATATCATTAAGTTTATTTCAATATGAATAAAGTTTTGAAGTCTAAACTCAAAGTATTTTGAGTTATTATCACAATAGTGACCAAAGGTGATTTGAGCTACTACCATTACTATCTTTTGGAAACATTTTGTTGGATATTTAAGTATATTTAAAAATAGAAAAAAAGTTCAAAAATACCCTTTGGTTTTGCTTTGAATCATACACTCATAATTTTTTTTTGTCACTTACCTCTATGATTTTTTCCATCCAAACCCATCCTTAAAATCTTAGAAACTATATTAATCTGCATATTTCACCCTTATAAGAAGAAGAGAACAGATTGAGGACAAAAATAAAAATTAAAAAAAATGAAATAAGACCAAATATGTTAGAAACTTATAATACTTATGGAAAAGACTAAAAATAAAAAATATCAAATATATCTAAATCAAAATGAAGAAAACATATCAACGACCAAAAGTCCAAAATTAGAAGAAAAATAAGACCAAATATGTTAAAAATATACAACAGTAATAGAAAAGACTAAAATTAAAAAAAAGTCCCAATCAAAAGAAAAAATAAGCTGAAGACAAAAAAAATAGAAAAACAAATAAGATGAAATATGTCTAAATAAAGAAAATAGAGAGAGGTCAAAAATAAATAGAAGTAAAAAAGAGTGCAAATATGTTGAAAATTTACAATATTGACAGAAAAGATGGAAATTTAAAAAATTAAAATAGTCTAAATCAAAAAAAGAAAAATAGAATGAAGACAAAAAAAGAAAAAGGAAAACTAAGACAATAAATCAAAAAAGAAATAAAAGAAAAAGAAATCACTATTGTAGATTTCCAATGTATTTGATTTTATTTTTTCTTCTATTTTTTTCTTTTTTTATCTTACATCTATTGGCAATAAAAGGTATTGTTTTTGTATTAAAAAGAACATAAAACAGTAAAAAAAAATAACAGGGGAACTAAAACCCTCAAACCAATTTTTGTTTTAAATTAATGAAACAATATCCATTTAAAGAAATATTGAAATTTTCATAATATGTTTTCCAAAAAAAAAAAAAATCATAATATGTACCCTACATTTCGTAACAATACGTTCATGAACGAAATTAATTCACTATAGAAAAACAATTCAAATAATTTTTGTTTCAATAGATAACTAAAAACTTGTTTTTCAAAAACTCCAAAGCAATTGAAGGTTTCAATATATCGATTGAAAAAAATTTGAATTTTTTTTTTAAACTTTCATGTAATAAAATTCAGAAATTTAGATTCAAAATTTTCGTAGAATATTCAACGAAAACACGGATATGATATATGGTTAGAAAACTCTCATCACGTAAAACAAAAACTCCAAGGTTTTCAAGATCAATTAAAAAAATTCTAAACGAAATTTTATCATGAACTTTAGGTTCTATATGCAAATTTAGAATTATTTTAGTAATTAAAAAACTTGGGTCTTATAATCATATATGCATAGCTCTAATACCAAATGAAGAAGATATTTTCAACCCATTGATAAAATCCAAGAACATGAAAGAACGAGAAAATGCTAATGTGTGGAGGACTACAACAACTTTAGATATGTAGAAAGTTGTTGCCTAATAATTTTGAATGTTTGTTAAAAATTATATTATGCGTTACTGATTGAGAAAATTATATTAGGTTTTATTTTTTTATTAATTTCTTTGCATTTCTTTGTTTTTTTATTGACTCTTGTAATTTTGAATATTTATTAAAAATTCATATGATTTTTTAAAATCTTATAAATCCATGTTGTCGTTTCAAATCTTATAAATTCTTTTAAAATTCTTTAAAATTCAATCTTATGAAATCTTGATTGTAAAAAAAGTCTTTAAAGTTCCTCCAATTCTAAATAGTCTTTTAAAATCTATAACATTTTTTATCTCAAAAAAGTCTTTTAAAATTCTAATCCAATACATCCCCCTTAATTTCTAATGGTGTTAAGGATAAATTTGAATATAAATACCATAAAGGATAAGTAATTAAAAAAATATATAAGAGTATAAGTAATTCAAAGCAAAAGTATGAATTTTTTTTAACTTTTTCCTTAAAAATAAAATAACTCTATCCAAAGCACCATTAAAATAAGGGAAAACTTCATTTTTATCCCTTGTGGTTTAATGATTATCACTTAATTCCTTATGGTTTCAAAGTTATCATTCATAAACATTATGGTTAAATAAGTTTATCATTTAATCGCCTTTGATTTCAAACATTCACTTACGCCCATGGTAACAAAAATATATCACTCACACCCCGGTGGTCATATAAATATAAAATTCTTTATTTTTTCTAACTTTTATTTTATATAATTATGATATTATCAAATAAAATTTTAATAAAATTGATTATTAATGATTAAATATAAAAGATATTTAAATTTATTTAGTTTGAAATTATTTTAAAAATCATCTGAAATTTTTTTATTTACGTAAAAAATTATATTTGAAATTAAGAATATCATTCAAGATAAATTAAAGACGTATTACTTAAATGAATTATTTATTTTAAGTTTTTAAAATATTATAACAGTATCAAATAAAATAAAATAATATTTGACTTAAATTTATTTTTACGATAAAAATATAAAACCACAAGATTTAAATGTGTATCATCTAATGAATTTAATTCAAATAAATAAAATAAATTATCTAGTTTTATCATGAATCAAACGCCTACATGATACATTTAAATAAATGTATTATATATATGGGATAGGATATTGTGACACCCAAGTTATGTTACACCCATATGACACCCAGTCAATCTCACTGTTAGATCGCTTATGTTGATCCAACGGTTATATTTATTTCCATCTTTGTATGGTAATGATTTTCCAAATTTAAAGTGAAAACATTAAATATGGGAAATCATAACCATACAAAGGTAGAAATAAATATAAAATATTAAATTTGGGAAATCATGACCATACAAAGATGGAAATAAATATAACCGTTGGATCAACATAAGCGATCTAACGGTGAGATTGACTAGATGTCACATGGGTGTAACATAACTTAGGTGTCACAATATCCTATCCCTATATATATATGTGTGTGTGAAAGATCATAAAGAGTTTAAATGATATATTTTTATAATCATGATACTTTAAAAGCACAAGGGGTTAAATAATATATATTTTGTAATCATGAAATTGGCCAACAATTGTCCAATAACGGATATTCATATAATCCTAATTCTGGGCTGATTGTTTTTACTCTTGATTTTAATCCCAATTTTTACGACATGCTTTATTTTAATTAAATCAAATAAAATACCCGTTTTATTTTCTTACAATTGATCTTTAAACCCATGTTATTTCTTTGAGAAACGATCTAGGTTGACATTATATTACAAATTTTTTAAAAATTTGGTATTTTAATTTGTTCAAGTTAGATTAGGGATGTAAATAGACTAAACCGGCACTACATGAACCTAAGACTTAGCCTATTGTAAATAATCAAATAAAACTTGCTTAGACTTTAAAAAAAAAATTATTTAAAAAGTAGACTATACGTTTTTTTTTACATGTCGAATCAATAAATCTATAAGTCGACTTATATTATATTATTTATTTTAAATAAAATAAATAAAATTATTATTTTAATAATTTTGAATAATATAATAAGAGGAAGGTTATACTTATAATCTTTTTTCTTTACAACCTCTTTCAACCATATCTTAGCACCGTTGATTTTCGCCAATCAACGGTTATGATTTTCGCAAATTAAACTCATTAATTGATTATTAATTCACAATAAATGATAACCGTTGATTGACGGAAAAACGGTGTTAAGATATGATTGTAAAAAAAAAATTGTAAGTATAACCTTTCGCATAAAATAATATTATTTTAATTATTTTTTACCAAAATTATTATATTTTAGATATATCTCAGATTTGATTTATAATTGAGTTCTACAGATGCTATCTGACCAGGAGATCCAAGTTTTTTTTACTCAGGACTGTGCTATAAAGCAGTAACCTATTTATACCTGTAAATTCAACAGCTCACGTCAACTGCGCCGTTCCCGGGGGATTTTTATAAGCCTGGAATTTTCGTTTACCACCCACCCCTACGTGTGGGTACCAAGAAGGTAATTCTATCTATCACTTTTGTTCAGTCCTGTTACGACGAGGAGATTAGAGAAGAGCCATGGCATTACAAACTGGCGTGAACACCTCCAAGGTTCTCATCCTTGTTGGAGCTGGTATATAAACGATATCGTTTTGTTCCTATTCTCAAGAATTTTCTCTTTGATTTATATTGTTGAATTTTTTTAATAATAAAACAACTCTGTAAATTTTGTATTAGGTTTTGATAGACCAAGACCTCTTTTTTTCTTGTTTTTAATCTTTAACAGATTTGAGAAAGAGCTTACAACTTTATCCGTTTTGAATCCAAATTATTTACTGCTCCATATTGTTTGGCATAGCTGATTTGACACACTAAGGGCATTTTTTTAATTAATTTTTTTTTGGTTTTTTATCACTGTGATTGGAAAGTGTATCCTTGTAGTTGTTGTAATGATGTTTATCATGTGATCAACTATTAAGTTATTGTGTTGTTTTGGTGCATTTTATTTTAGGTTTGACTGGTTCTGTTGTTTTGAGGAGCGGGCAATTGGCTGATGTTATTGCAAAGCTTCAGGAAGTGCTGAAGGGTGTTGATCAAGTTGAGATTTTGCCAGGTGGATATGATGCCTCGGTTATTTCTGCTCAGGTATTTCTTTTTGTGTGATTTTGAGGCAGTGGTGTATTTGTAACAACTCAATGTAAATTCACACAATAATTGGAAAAGAAACACTGAATTGTATTGATTAAACGAAATCTGCTGAACTTCAGTACACTAATTGGGAAAATTACAAGGAAAACCTAGAAACTTCAAGATACAAGGAAACAACCCGGAGGATTAGAGAGCTCTGGTTCTCTCCCAAAATACCACACACCCCATGCTCCTCCTCACCGTTTTCCATAACACACTCACTTCCATTTGCTGAGTCAACCGTCAGTTGAGATCCTCTAAAATGCTTTCTATGGTACACTAGCATCTTTAGAGGGTTTGTATCAGTATGACATTGAATGTTTTCGAGTGGATATGAGTGGGGATACAACTAGGAACCCGAATACAGAAAGACAGAGCTGAGATAAGAAATGATTTGTGGAAAGGTAAAATGTTTTAGGGAGTCTATCATTCATTCATGAAGTATTAATTTGAAAATTGTGAAATTGTATGTTTGTAAGCCCACTGCTACATACATAATTGCTACAGTGTATCGAAGGAGGAAAGAGAGGAATGTCGAGAATTTGACCCACAGTAGTTATGATAATGTGGGAGGGCAGGAAAGGATTCAGATATTTAGTGGAATGAGAAAATAACCTCCTGTTAGTGTGGCAGGGAAGGAAAGGATTTGGTTAGTTAGTGGAAGGACAGAGAAAAAAAGGAGCGGAGAGGAAGTTGCGACAATGTGGGAGATAACCAGGCCTCTCAAATTTGCTTGAGCTAATCTATTATGTGCAGTACACCGAGATCTCTACTTTTTTTGTACAAACCTACCACTCTTATTGATTTCATACTGATATCAGCAGTGGCATTTCAGTACTAATACTATATTATTCAGCTATTTTGGGTCCAATTCATTGATTGTATAGTACTTGATGTTGATGGTAAAGCTATTTATTCACACAAAACTTATTATCTAATGCATAACAAAAAATGTGTGTATTTAACTTCAGATTCGGCAGCTAGCACAAGAGATTAAGGAGTTGACCTTATCTAGGCCTATTACTGTCTTCAATGGCAATTCTTCTTCTAATGGTATGTAGATTGGATTCTATTGCAAGTTCTACTCACACAAACTCGGGCTTTGAATATTTTTCTTTTCTTTTCTCTCTTCAATTGAGATATTAAACATTGGAGTTGAATCATAACAATTTACTTTATAGTTACCCACTTCATCTTTTCAACCATGCGTGCAATTTCTTTCTTCTTTAAGAAAAAGAAGATGGAGGTTCTCCTTAATATTCATTTTGAGTGATGCAGGTTAGCAATCCTAATTAAAGAATGTGTTTAAGGGAGAGAGTGAACAGGAAAGAGATTGGTTTTTCAGGTATTGGAGTATTTCTCCTGCCTAGTCTGTTTTAGATATATAGCCTTGAAATGAAGTGAAGACCTTCAATTCTCTTGTCATGTCTAGGATCGCCTCTGTATTTGAGCCATGGTCGTGGTAGTGGTATAGGGAATTGAAGATTTTTGACTTCCCACTAACAACACCAATGTCTTGTCCAAGAATCAGAGATAGATGCATACCTAACTCTAGGAAGAAAGTCCGGAGGTGCTTGTGATCCTGTATTTAGAGTGTTGGGGGCTATGTAGCACCGATACCGACACGGGACACGAGACACGATACGACACGATACTCCGACACGTTAATCCTAAAAAATGTTAGATTTCGACACGTTAGGACACGTTTTGATATTAAATATTATTTTTAATTTATGTAATGTATATTATATTTAATACTCAATAATTTAACAAAAAAATGAGATTAAACTTATAATACCCATTAATTTTGCAAAGAAACATAAGATATCTCAAATATTTATATTAAACTCAATAAAATAGTAATCGTAATCCAACGAATCTAATAATTGGAACTAAAAATACAACGCAACGCAACCTTTAAACCTTTTTTTGAGTCTCTACAATGAATGCTGGAGTGTCGAGGAGTATCGGAGTGTCGGAGAATGTCGAAAAGTATCGGACACGACATGTCAAATTTTTAAAGTGTCGGTGCTTCATAGGTTGGGGGTGTACACGCAAAAGGAAATTCAACACTCAAGTTAGAGGTGGTACTATTACTACCATACAAGTTTGTGAGGGAGGAGATCCCTTACTTGAGGTCTTGGCGTTATTTATATAGTGGGGGATGCTTGCTCAAGTGGTAGCCATGGAGGTGGAAATTCTATTTGCTTGGATTTGGATTCATAGTAAGCAATGAGATGGATAAGAATGGAATGAAATGACATTAGTTGCTATTGCTTAGGTTTTTTGGAAATAGGGTGGAATGGAATTGGTATATATTCCGTCCCACCCATCCATTACATCCATTTTTGTTTCCCTCCAATTTGGGGGATATGGGATGGAATCATCTTATTTTTTGTTATTAGAATTATTAAATTACAAGTTGTTCTAACCTGCAAAAAGAGGATATTACCACCCTTCCTTCATGTTCGTTTCTCTCTTTGCGCAAGTACCCATATGCAGCTCTGATGTTTTCTTGTGTCTTGGTGTTTATGCATGTGTTTGCCTTTAGTGTAATATGCATACCTTTTTTTTAATGTTGAATCCAACTAATACTAGTTGAGAAATATAGGATAGAATCCAAGAATTGCTTTCAACTTTGTAATCTTGAAGCCTCTGTAGTGCTTGTAAATATATTGTGTAGTTATGATCCTGTTATTTCATGATACTTGGAGATCCGATTCTATCTCTGCCACTTTATAAAAGATTTGGCCATTATTTGATGGGGCCGAGGTTTGGGCTTTGATAGGACCCAGGACAGAATGAAAGAAAATAAGACAATGTAGTCATAGTAGTTATAGATTTAGTAAGTGTTTGTTAAGAGTAGATAGTTACAGAACTGGTTAGGTGTTTTGCTTAAATAGTTGGAGGGAGTAGAAGAAGATTCATTCTAAATTGTTAGCATTGGAAAACATAGCATTAGTTCTGATGTAAAAGTGGAAACCCTTTGTTGAAGGGGAAACCGTTGGAAGGAGAATTCTCTCCACTTTCTATTGAGATTGAATAAACCTCTGCAGATTTGTTCTCTCTATTTCTTAGTTCTCTTGCTTGTGGGTTCTTAACAAATTGGTTTGACCTGCTGGGTCTCGTTTTCTGGGGATGACATGGAATTGAGAATATAAGTGCTGGAGAATTTGGTGGAGTTCTTGAAGAAGAGGACCAACAAGCATGGGGTGATATTATGCTCTTTGGATGCTCATGTCACTGAGATTTGGAAGAATATACGGTGTAGAGGACATTTGAAATTTGCTGGATAGGTGGATGAAGAGATAGGGCATTATTCTTGAGGAGGAAGATGATGACCAAACCTTTCACGATATGTCAAGTTCATGACTGACAAAGGAGAAAACTGAGACACAACATGATGGTAATTCTGAGTCCATTTCTGATGAATCCTTGATGTGGCAATTACCCAATTTTTATAATAGTAACCCAATGGGGTGAATTGCTTAGGTGGAGAAGTTCTTGTAGGTGCAACAAAGAAAGTTGATGATTGTTAGAAATAATATTATTTTATTATTATTAGAATAGTCTAGAATAGTCTAGATTGTGGGTTTGGCCCATTCGGTCATCCCATTAGGTCTTTTTAGTCTCTATAAATAGAGAGCCTCCTTGTACAGACTTACACACTTGAATATACAATATATTTCAGATTCAATTTGGTATCAGAGCTCTCGATCTGAGGGCTCTGCTTCCGCATATATATTTTTTTCCTTTCGTTGTACTGCCGTGCATCATACCGGCAAACCTTTTTACCGCCGTGCATCATACCGGCAACCTTTTTCAACCCTCCGAACATTGTTAGACCCTTTTTCGATCTCAGATCGTCATCCTCCTTCATTATTTGACCAGAAAACACTGCTCACATCGCAAGAAACACTGTTCCGTCACTGTTCATCACTGTTCCGGCCACCTTTCCGGCGAGAAACCACGCGATCAGGATCCCCTCACGCCGGCGACCATTTCTGTCCAAGACCCGTCCCAAACGGCCGCCGCACGCGCCTCCACGCGCCACCACAGCTGTCTGCGCGTGGGCCTCACGCGCCACCTCTCTCCGGCGCGTGTGCACTGTTCCGGCCACCTTTTCCGACCAAACCAAGGCAGACAGGCTCGCCTCTGCCTCCTCCTTCCAGATCCAGTGACCGATCGTTGTGGGTCTCTTCCGTTCGAGGGTTTCTAGTGCAAAAGTCGCTACTTTGTTCCTTTTTCGCGTAATTTTTACAGTTTTTTGGTTGTCTGATCGCTGTTCCTGATGGAAGGAACCAGTAAACATTCTTCCGGCATCATTTCAAGTGCTATTCCATCTATCACAACTCTGAAATTGACCGGATCTGCCACTTACAAGACCTGGTCTACCTCCGTTAAGATCTGGTTTACCGGTCAAGGCCATGACAAACATCTCACCACTAAGAAGACTGATATTTCCCAAGATCAGAGACTGAATGGGAGAAAGTTGATGCTCAGCTCCTCAGTATTCTTTGGCAATCCATTGATTCATCTCTTCTCAATATTTTCATTCCTTTTGAGACCTGCTATGATGTGTGGACGGAAGCCAAAAACCTCTACACCAATGATATTCAACAACTTTATTCCATTGTCTCCCAGATGATGGATTTGCGCAAATCACCCGAAGCTCGTATGGAAGTTTATGTTGGTAAGATTCGTTCTTTGATGCAGGAATTTTTGGCTATGTTACCTCATGCTGCGGATGCTACAGTGTACAGGACGCAAGTGGAGCGTCTCTTTACGGTTGTGACTCTCTCTGGTCTCCCTGACGGATTAGAAAGTGTTCGTGAGAACATTCTAACCAGTACTGCGATTCCCAGCATATCCCAGACCTTTCAGCGCCTTCTGAATCTTCAAGATAAGGTGGCTCCCGCACACGTCACAGCTACTGACTCTACTGCGCTCTTGTCTGATTCTGCTGCTTTAGTCTCTCGTGGTAATTGGAACAATGGTGGACGCGGTCGTGGTCGTGGCCGCGGACAAGGCGGTCGCGGGCCCATGACTTCATATGGCCCAGGCGGGCGCGGACAGACGATGTCGTATGGACAGGGTGGCCGAGGACAAAGGCCTCGGTGTAATTATTGCCAATATCTGGGCCACATCGAAGAACGTTGTTATAGAAAGTACCCTCACTTGAAGCCACCACATATGAACTTTGCTCAAACAGATGTTGTGCCGCCCTCTACCGGATCAGTGACTATTTCCGCTGCAGACTATAAGGCCCTTCTCCAGAAGAGTTCTTCTCAGCCACCTGCTCCAGATACTGGTAATCTTGTTGCTTGTTTTTCTCAATCGTCTCTTGGACCCTGGATAATAGACTCAGGTGCTACTGATCATCTTTGTGGTAATAAGGATCTTTTTACTTCCCTTACCTTTTCTAATAATCTTCCCTCTGTTACTCTTGCTGATGGCACCAAGGCTCCTGCTCGTGGCATTGGGCAAGCCAAACCAACTCCCTTATTGACTTTAACCTCTGTTTATTACATCCCTGGCATTCCTTTTAATTTAATTTCTGTTAGTCAATTGACCCATTCTCTTTCTTGCTCTATCACCTTTTCTAAACAGTCTTTTTCTATGCAGGATCCGAGTACGGGGAAGACGATTGGAGCGGGCGGTGAGTCACGAGGTCTCTACTATCTGCATGCACCCTCTGCTCCAGTTGCATGCTCTCTCACAGAGTCTCCTGAGCTTCTCCATAGCCGTCTGGGTCATCCAAGTCTCTCGAAGCTTCAGCATATGGTTCCTTTTTTGTCAGGTCTTAAGTCTTTGAATTGTCAGTCTTGTCAGTCTTGTCAGCAGGGAAAGCATACTCGTTCTTCCTTTGCTAGTAGAGTCAATAAAAGAGCTGCTGCTCCCTTTTCTATTGTTCATTCTGATATTTGGGGTCCGAGTCGGACTATGTCAGTTTTGGGTTTTCAGTATTTTGTAACCTTTATTGATGATTTCTCCCGTTGCACTTGGGTTTATTTAATGAAAAATCGTTCTGAGTTATTTTCAATTTATCAAAAGTTTTGTGCAGAAATAAAAACTCAATTTGGTGCTTCTATTCAAATCTTGCGCAGTAATAATGCAAAAGAGTATGTGTCTCTTGAATTTTCTAAATTTTTGGATACACATGGGACGATACACCAGACTACTTGTCCCCACACTCCACAACAAAATGGAGTCGCTGAACGTAAAAATAGACATCTAGTTGAAACTGCACGTACTCTTCTCATTCATATGAACGTCCCACTTCGTTTTTGGGCAGATGCTATTATCACCTCATGTTTCCTTATCAACCGCATGC